TCACTCACTCACTCACTCACTAAAACAAAAAACAAAAAATGGAGCTTTCAAAAAAAGCATGCTGTAATGCAAAACAGTTTAGGAGCCCCTTACAAAGTTTTATAAACAAGGAGACTTTAAAAAGTTCATGGAAAAATGTCCCTTATTTCTTAGTTGCATTTTTCCATGAACCTGTTTTTAAAAAACCATTTTATTGGGGGCTCGTCCATGAACTTTTTGAAGTTATCTTTGTACTAAAGATCCGGCAATTCTGACCCTAGCTATTTGACCACGAGAGTATATCCACACAAAGGATCACAAATTTTACAGTTTTATCCATAAGAACCCAAAGCTGGGAACAACCAAATGCCCATCAGCAGGCGAATAATTTGCTAATTGTGGCTTATAAAACATGCCTGCGAAGACCAAAAAGCTCACACACAGAGCTTTTACAAATCCATTTCTGAAGCAGTAACACAAAATGGGCAAAGAAACAAAACAAGGTAAATTACAAGGTAAGACCTACAAAAGAATTTATAGTAAATGTCGTATTTAATAGTGCAATATTGCGAGCACTAGTCCTCAGTGAGGCAAGAATATCCACTGCCATCACTACATCTATTCCATATTGTACTTATGTCCTAGGCAGAAAGTACACTGAGGTAAACAATAAATATGTAAAAGACATAATAATCAGGAAAATAAAAAACCAAAATATCACTTGGAGATTATGTACATGGAAAAATCTTAAGAGCATAATAATTATTAGAATTAATAGGGTCCCTGGATATAAAATTAACACCTAAGGATCAACTATAATAAGCATGTGAAAAGATGCTCAAAATAGTTGTTGATTAGGAAGACACAATTCAAAACCTATGTGAGCGAATCAAGGCAAGCCCAGGGGTGTTCAGTGGGTTCTGACGACAGCCGTTCCGTAGGACAGCACAGACCTGTCTTTGAGGGTTTCCAAGGCTGTACTCTTACAGGAGCAGACACCATTCTCCTGTTAAACACCTGATGCGTTCAAACCACTGTTACGGAAAGCAGACAGGTACTTAACCACTGTACCACCTGGGCAGTTTACTATACCACTAGGGCTTCTTCAAGAGCACTTACATAATCCCTCCCAAAGTCAAACCAATCTTTAAAAATAGGCAAAAGCCTTGAATAAGTACTTCACAAGAGTACATCTCTATTTCAAATAAGCATAAACTGGTGTTCGACTTCCTTCGTCCTTCCAGGAGTCCAAGTAAAGCTGCAGCATGGTACTGAAGGCAGAAAAGAGCACAGGCTGACCAGAAGGTGGAATGAGCTCTGATCCACAGCTGACTGAAGGGGAGGTAAACAGTACAGCCATTCTGGAAGATCTGGGATCACAAAATGCATACTCTATGACAATATACTTCTACTTTTAAGTTTCTGTCCAACAGAAATGCATATAAATCTTCACTAAGAAACATGTACAGTACTAGGATGTTCATGGAAGCCCTGAATTTTATAGCCTCAAATTGAAAATTACTGAAATGCCATCAACATTAAAAGTGGATAAATTCCTATTCATACAATGGAATTCTGCTCAACAATTAGAATGAATACACAAACTGACGGAATTCAGGTAAGGATGAATTCCACAAAAATGCTGAACAGAAGCAGATACACAAAGAGCATATATTATGTAATTCTATTTCTACCAAGTACAACGTTAGGCAAAACTGACGTCCTACGAAGCATCTCTTACAAGTAGGGTACTTGGTGGTTGGCCTGGCTGGAGACAGTGAAAGCCATGGGCTGCGAGGGCCCTGGGAATTCTGGCTGCACTGTGAATCGGCATCCACTCGCACACCTAACGCTCTGACGAACTGTTCTGAACGTGTGACCACTTTCAAAAAATTAAAGAAAATGCTATCATATTTGTAACAACGGTGGCTGCTTGAGCGGAAGAAAAAGAACCGGGGAAAGGATGGGCTGTTGGTGTGATGTTTCTACTCACTTTTGTCCTGTAATGCAATTTGTTGCTTATGCAGTAATGCCACCTCCTGTCCCAGAGCTCTCTTCTGTCTTTCCAGTTCTTTCCGAAGCACCAGCATTTTTAACTGCAGACATTCACTTTCTTTCTTCTAAATGAATAAAACCACAGGCACACTTGTGAATAGGAAAGCAACGACTATGAATCAATCAAAATGCACAGTTTTTCAAAACATATCATGGTTTAACCTGTGACTCCCTTGAGTCAGTTAAGTATCGGTGGCCATCACTATCATAAAAAAGGACATATAAATGTGCAGAAGAGTAAAAATAAGAACTCTCCAGTCTGTTTTTTCTGTTTTTTTTTTTTAAGAGCCCTAAAGAAACTACCACATATCTTAGGCCCCTTAGCTAATGTCACAACAAAACAAAACAAATAATAATGTTGATGAAATAGAGTCCTCAAAAAACGAAACAAAGAATTACTGTCTGACCAACTCCACATGAACATGTGGATACTTAGGTTAAAAATACAATGCCATTTACAATTAGTTCCCCCCGACAAAGAGAAAAGAAAGAAATGGATGCAATTCTGGAAAAATAAATGTGAAGACTATAATACTGATGAAGAAAAATCAAAGAAATACTGTGTTCATAGATGAGAACACTTAGCAAAGGGAATTTTTGTTTTCCAAATTTAAGTGTATTGCAATGCCAAGAACCAGCCCATTGAGATCGCTCAACGATATAGACAAGCTGATTATAAAATTCACATGGAGAGGTAAAGGATTACAAATACACAAAGCAATTTTGAGGAATGAAAGTAAAACTGGAGGAATAAAACTATTCAATCATATGATCTTAAAAGGGTAATATGAGTAAACTGTGCTATTAAAAATGTTGTGTATTACCACCCAGTTGGGATACTGTAAGACGTACCTATGGGGTAAAGGTTACTCTATTATTTCTTACAACTAGGTATGCATTTACAACGACCTCAAAATTAAAAAAAAATTTTAAAACACCAGTAATAATTCAGTGCTGACATAAAGACACCAGAGGTAATCAACTCTTATATGTTTTAATCCATCTCAAATCTAATTATATTGAGTGAAAGAAGCCAGACTCAGAAACTTACCAGAAGGTCACATGTGAATGGCAAGCTCTGTAGCATAAAGAGGCGGGCTTTCCCAGAGAGCAAGGGGCTACTGAGTGGTTTAAACTAGGGAAGCTGCCTGTCGAAGTTCTGACTTTCACCAAATTTACTCAGTCCAGAAGCTGGACTATAAGGAAGAATGTGGCAGTAGTTTGGAGGCAGGCTTTCAGTAACAGCTGTGAGGTGCAGATGGAACCACCCAGCTCACTGAAAAGGGAAGAGTAGAAGCACTCGTTGACAGAGATCAAGAACTTCCATACAGCTTACACCTCAACACAAAGAAACAAAACCTCGCACAATGGGTCCAACAAGCAACTAACAAAAGTTGGCAAGGATCCATGTTACTTGGATCAACAATCAATACCAATGGAAATCCAATGATGTTATTTCAGGGTGCAAAAATGTTGTGAAAGACTTCTTAAAGTGTTCACGAGCACAGTGCTCTGAGGACTAGGTCATGGTATTTTCAGTCACCTCTTTTGTATGAGAAAGCTGGACAGCGAATAAGACCGGAAGGAAAGAAAGAAAGAACAATTTTATTCATTTAAATTATGGTGTTGGAGAAGACTACTTAAAGTACTGTGGACTATCAGCAGAACAAACATCAGTCTTGGAAGAAATAGAGCCAGAATTCTCCTTATATGGGAGAATGGTGAGACTTCATCTCACGTCCTTTGGACGTGTTATCAGGAGAGACCAGTCCCTCAAGAAGGGCATCGAGTTTGGGAAAGGAGAGGATCAGAAGGAAAGAGGAAGCCCTTCAACAAGGTGAATTGGCACCGTGGTGGCAACAGGTGTGAAGATGGGACAGGATTAAGCGACAGGATTAAGCAGTGCTTTGTTCGTTCCATGGCACCGAGGGCTGTTCAGGCTCGACGGCCTCACACAGCAACAACTCCTAAAGACCAAAACACAGTGATAAAAAACGGGCCCTCAGTCAAAGGTAAGGCTATGATTACCAATAGAGGCTGTGGGTGTTCTGGAAGCCGACGAATCTGCCCTGCATCCTGATGGTGGTGGTACACCACCACCACCACCAAAGGTTAATTTCACTAAATGTTCATTTGAATGATAATTAATTCTGGCACTTTCTACCAGAAAGAAAAACAATAAGCAAAATTCTCCTTTAAAATGCAAACATCTCCTACTAAAACCTAACCACACCACGACCCAACTTCTCATACTTCTTTTTTCTCTCCCAATACTAGCCCTAGCCTCCACATACATGTGCTTCCACACATCACTGCACTGTGACTGCATGTGTCCTTCTCTCCTGGTCTTTATTAATAGTGCCAATAAGAATTTTCATGGTTACCCACGACATAAATCATGCCCAAACATCAACTTGGCTATATATAATGGTGTAATGGGTTATGTGCTGTGCTGCTAACCACCAAGTCAATGGTTTAAAACCCACCAGTTGTGCCAGAAGGGAAAGACGAGGCTCTCTGCTCCCAAAAAGGATTCCAGCCTCAGAAACCCAAGGGGGCCATTCTACTCTGTCCTATAGGGTTGCTTTGCATCCAAATCGACTCATGGCTGAGAATCTGGGTTTTCAGAGCCTAAAAAAACCCCCCAAAACCAGGTTTGGCAGTCGGCTTCCATAAAGATCGCAGCCAAGAAAATCCTACGGAGCAGTTCTACTCTGTGACACTCCGTGTCCATAGTCTGGGACTGACTGGATAGCAGCAAACACCACCTCCACCTCC